TTTAATTTCTTCTGTGTCACTCACCACATCATCTTCGCTGATACTTACTTCTGCAGAAACAGATACTGCCTCAAATGCATCAAGTGCTAACAAAGCTTTCTCATGTGCCCCCATAAGTTCCATAAAATCAGTTCCTTGACAAAGAATTTCATCATATTTTCCAGCTTGAGTGATCCTCCCATCTTTCATGACCTAACAAATGAATAAGCAGCCGATATCCCATCTATTTTAGTTCATGATATCAAAAGAATGAAAGACAAGTTCATGATATCAAAGCATGAAAAACAAGAAAAGAAAATTTTACTCACCAAGATTAAATCAGCAGCAGACAAGAACTCAACTTGATGAGTGACATAAATAACAGTTTTCGATTTCAAGATGCCCAACAAAACTTCCTATCAGTCAAAGATTAAGAGAGATATGGTTAGGCAAAGAGTAAAATTTTTATTCCAAAAAACATGAAGTGAAACTGGACCAAACATGATATGGTTGCAACAGTTTTATATTAAATTAAGAGTTAAGTGTAACCGTAAGTGTCACTAATAGCACCTGCAAGGATGTTACCTTAAAAAGGTGAGAGCCAGTATGAGCATCCACGGCACTAAAAGGATCATCAAGCAAATAGATATCAGCATCTTGGTAGAGAGCACGTGCAATCTGTATTCTCTGCTTCTGCCCTCCGCTCAAATTGATTCCTCTCTCACCTATGACTGTTTGATCACCAAATGGGAGGATTTCAAGGTCTTGTTTGAGAGAACAAGCTTCAAGCACCATCTCATACCTTTGCTTGTCCATCCCCTTACCAAACAATATGTTCTCTTGAATGCTACCACTCTGTATCCAAGGTGATTGGGCAACATAGGCCTTCAAACCACACAACTTTACAGTCCCAGTTATTTTGGGAATTTCACCCAAAATACAGGAAAGGAAACTTGACTTGCCAGAGCCAACAATACCGGAAACTGCAACCCTCATACCATGGTGCACTTTTAAATTTATATCTTTCAGAGCAACATTTGTGCTAGATAAATCCCAGGAGAAATTCCCATCAATGATCTCAATTGCTATATCAGAAGAACCACTTGGAAGCCTCTCTATAACATCAGAATGCAACTCATCCAAACAAGAGAAAGATGCAATTCTATCAAGAGAAACCTTTGTCTGAATTATCACTGAAATTGTTTCAGGAAGACTATTGATAGACCCTTGAAGAATACTGAATGTAGCAATTGCAGATAAAATCTTCCCGGACTCAAGAGGGATTCCCAGAAGCAAACAAGCACCAAAGGTGGCCACAGACACAAAAATCGGTGCCATCCAAAATAGAAACCTGGTCATGGCAGAGGTGTAAACATACTTCTTTAACCATGCTGTCTCGACATTCCTGAGCTGAAAAATCCTTGACAGAAACTTCATTTCCCAGCTTTGAAGCTTAAGAATTCTCATATTCCTTAAGATCTCCGATGTTGCCTTCATCCTTTTATCTTTTGATTCCATCAACTTGTCCTGAAACTTCTCCTCCAACTTCCCAAAAGGAAAATTTGCTGACATAAAGAGTACAGTCACAATAAAAGCTGCAACTGATGCTATTCCAAGATTTCTATACAAGATAAACAATGCCAAAGCAACTTCCAGAATGACCCTCCACGGATCATGAATGTTTGAACAAGAGCCACCAACCCTTTTTGCATCAATAGTCATGATATTGATAATTTCCCCACTAGTGTGGCTCTGCTTCGATTGGCATGAGAGGGTCAAACCCTTGTTGTAAATCATTGTTACCAGTACTGCTCTTATTCTGATTCCAATTCGCGCCAGCCTAAAAGACAAGTGCCTTTGACATAGGCACTCTAGAAGTTTTGCAGAAAATAATGTTGTAACCAGAAGATACCCCTCATTTTTAAACTCTCGTCTCCCATTGAAGTATTGAACAAGAGTGTCAAGGAGATATGGGCCGACATATGAAGCAACTGTTTCCAAAAGTGCCAAAAAAGCTGTCCAGAGAACCTCTTTCCATACTAAAAGGAACAACGCCTTTACTAGCTTAAGCGTGGTCACCCCACTCCCAACACCACCAATAGACTCGAGAAAATTTCTAAAATTTGGAAAACAATTTACCACACTATCAAGGCTATCAAGTTGAGGAATATCCTCAAAGTCTAAACTCTTCTTCCTATTGCCCAGTGCGATTAAAGGCCCCATCCAGGAGAATGTAAGAATGCTAAAACTACTGGCATTTGAGAAAGGGGTTACAGAGTCATCTTCTCCGGACTTCTTTGACTCTAGACTGGAACCTCCATTCAAAAGGGGTTCCTCTAGGAAGATATCTTCACCCCTATTTCTATTCAAAAAGCCCACAAAACAGATAGGAAAACCAGTGATAACAGAGAAAATATCAGACACTAATAGCTGACTTGGTAAGGCGGTGTGCTTTTTGCTATGAAAAATGTCTATGACTAGACAATAACAAGAAGTCAACAGATAAAAGCACCAGCAGATACTCAAGAAAAATGGGAATTTCTGTTCACCAGAAGCAGAGAATTTGGTTTGCACGTAAAGAGAAATTGCACCCCAAGCAAGTGTTTTTAGCACTAAATCAGAAAGCATCACGACTTCACCTAAGAACCAACCATTGCTAAACCCATAGAGATAGCTGAACAAACACATAACAGCATTAAACCCAGAAATAGCTAAACAACATAACAAGGTCTTCTTTTGCCACAACACCCCCCTGTCCTTAACCTTGTCTTTCAACCCCTCACCATAACCTCCCTCAGCCCTCTTAAACACAAAAATGGAAAATAACAAAAGTAACAAAACTAGGTGGAATGAACCGGAAATCCCATGAGCAAAAACTGGCTCAAGGAGGAACATCAGGAAATATGAGTAAGAGTGTTTAGCAAGCATACCCCGCCTTGCAAAAGCAAAAAGTTGCATGCTTTTGGTGTTCGATGAAACGG